AGAAAAATTGTGATTCATCACAATTCTCAGTGGTACACATTGGACTAGTGCAGCTCACTGTCTTCCTCCATTTCGAGGTTGAAACTAGGTTTGTAACATCATCAAAAATGCTTAATTTACGGGGAAGAAGAATCTGTCAATTGCCACTCTTAAATGTCATGCCAGCAAAGGCCTTGCAACTGAGTGTCTTCCCAAAATACAGTTGCACAGATGCAGAGACTGGTTTGTAGGCTGTTGTATAAATTAACTATTTTGCACTAGTTTACTCACTGCAAGTTTGTCTATCCACCTGCAGGAGCCCCTGCATCCATTCCAGACAGGGGACTGAGTCTTACTAAAGGCCTAGAAGACTCAAGGCCCTGTACAGCAGCTGGCCGAACAATAGACTGGTCCCTGTGTCGCCCTGTTGACAACTCAGTCTTCCCTAAAGTTGACAGGAATCAAGCCCACCACATAGCCCCATTATTAATTATACTAGTAACATTACCATTTGAACCCATCAGGGACCTCAAACTCCTCTTCAAGAAACAAAAACCTGTTACAGATAAGTAACATAACTAAACGTGAATTTAATCTTCTTTTTCAAATTTCTAATGCCCTTTCTACCTTCCTGTCAGTACATGCTCAGCCTCCTCCCCAGAAAGGCATTTCTGTCCCTGTGGGATTTAACCTATATTATATAAGGCCCCAAGGTCCTCCCCTCTACTAATCTTGTCGAATTTGTCATCTCAAAGATGCAGAAATCACTACTGGCACCTATGACCTCAGCACCTGGGACCTCAGGCTCTGGACATCTACCATGGGCCAATGGAAGGACACTTTCCTCCACCTTCTCTGACTGACATGAGCATCCCTGACAGTCTCAGAAATCCTTCACCAACTCCCAGAGAGAATGGGGTGAGTTTCATGGTTCTCAAAAGGCAAAGTGTACTGTCCCACCCAAGCCTGAAGCAGCTACAGAAGACAGACCTTCACCCCTCAGCAACCCAAAAAGGAATTTTTGAGAACCATGTCTCTCAAGTGGAAATGAGGCAGGAGACAGCATAGGAAGAACTCTGAGACTGCACTGCTGTTACTGGCCAGCGCCTAGCATCCTGACTGCCAGGAAATGCCTTTTATCCCTTAGGTAGAATAAATAGTCAACAAAGGCAGGGAGGGGGAGGGAGACTTGTCTCACTCACTAACTCAGCAGTCCTGAGCCTAGTCCGATAATATTGCCAGGTGTTCCAACATCACAAGAAACACGTTAGCAAGGAAGGAGGGAAGTCCTTGAAATTCTATGTAGTGTTTCCACTATCTAGGAAAGAAAGCCTTGAAACTGCTTTCATCCCAAGGCCTGAAATGCGGGAAAGGGTCCAAGGTGCCCAAAGCAGCAGCCCATAAATAACTTTAGGTAATTGCACCAACTTTAATTAAAATGCCTCCTGATCATTGTAGTTTTTTGTGCCTTGAGATACATTTGCAAATTGTTCTCCAAGAATCATGTACGTGAAAAGCAGGTAGCGAGCTTCACTGGACTTACTACTGTGTCTACCTTAACAAACAAAAAAGGGGGAGATATTGGGGACCACTTTGTATAGTATCAGAAACTGTAGCCCCATGCAAGCTAGGTCCCCTGCCTGTAAGCCTTGACTGGAAAGCCAGGAATGCTGGGAGGTGCATGGACCAATACTAACACTGAGGGTCCCCTGGGAAATCTGGCCTTAAAAAAAAAAAAAAAAAAAAAAAAAAAAAAAGCAACATAATTACTGAAGCTTGCTCTGTTTTACACTGCCCTGATAAGGAAAAACCAGGTGTTTTACTTCACCATAAGGAGCTAACAACTGTGCCTTAATAAGCATCTCGTGCCAACTTCTCTGACAGACCTTGATTTAAGACAAATCTCTGTATTTCTTCAATTTCTTATCTATAGCCTTTTTGATGTAAACTGATAGGCTTTGCATGCGTGCTGTATGCCCTGCGCACATTTTGTTCTCAATGAAAGCCACTTATTAATTATACTAGTAACATTACTATTTGAACCCATCAGGGACCTCAAACTCCTCTTCAAGAAACAAAAACCTGTTACAGATAAGTAACAGGCTCGGAGCATCCTCCACTAGAGGGAATAGCCACCCCCTTTCCTTGACAGGTAAAGATGTCTGGAACTTGTTATTTCATCCACGGCAAACTGGGGACTTTGTGGGATGGGGTCCTCCGCAGTAGATGAACCAATGCCTAAGCACAATAAAATTTTAGTTTTATATGTCCTATTTGAAAACACAGTTAAAGCTGCAAAACAAGAAAATAATCCAAATAAAGTGTTTTTCAATTAACTCTACTGAACTGGAGCACATTTTAGCCACAAATAAATTATTCTTATTTTTTTCCTTAGTTACTACTAAAGTTGAGAGGCAAAATCCCAACAGGTTATCAAAGGCCCTCAATCTTTCCATTAATTTACCAAAAGTTCAATTAGAAAAAAGAACATGGAAATATGAACGGGACAGCACTCCTAGATAGTCTTTAGTTACTCACCGAATAAGTATAATGTTTGTGTCTAGTTCTAAGATTAGGGGAGACTATGGATGTGTCTATGCAAAATAAAAATAACTTATTTCACTCATATTTAAATTTAAGACAGCTTATTGAAGTTACCGGTTTCTATATTGGGAAGTTTATTATATATGCAATTACTGCAATCATCACACCTGGAATGTGACAGAGTTATCATTCAAAAAACAAAATCTGTACAGAGGAAAGGAAAAAGATGATTTCTAATGTAAATGACTAGAACAGACTTACTTTCCAACAGACACAGCCTTAGCTTTGAGAATAACTATTTACTCTTGAGGATCTCTTTCTAAAGAGTTATTGGTGCTACTCTTTCCCCTTGTTTTTGTGCATATTACAATGACAATCAATTTCCATAGGAAATATACTCAAAATTAACATACATGTATTCTATTACAAAAAGTATACCATTTGGTATAGCCAAAGATAGTGTAAATTATAACCATTCTATTACAAATCCTCTGAATTTAACTGCAAAAATCGCAATCATAAACTTTTAAAGGCTTGGTGTGAAATTTACAAATCATGCGAAAGTAAAAGTTTTAAACTTAAAACACTCGGCAATTTGAATCGAATTAATTTAATTTGCTTTGCAAAGTAAAAGGAATCAAATAGACACACAAGACGATCACTAAATTATTCCTCTTTCAGAATCTACATCAACAAATTTAATACAGCTTTTTACTACCCTAAGAATATTTTAAAGGAGAAAATCTGGTATACATACAGAGACTAACTGGTTTAATAGTACTATAATTTTAAAAATAAAAATTGGGATGGTAACCTTATTTAACTGATAAAGAAAACCATCACAAAATATTAACTGCTCAATTTAATCACTCCTTTTCCTGTAAGTACACAATTACAGCTAACAATTTTAAAGGAAAAAACTTGTACGTACAAATTGTAACCCCAAAAATGTAACTCTAAAAACCACAAAATTCAATCTGCTCTTTCTGCTGCCTCCAAATATTTTAAAAGGTCACTGTTAAAAAACTAAGCAATAGTTTGTTATGATTGTAAACTAAGCAGCTTTATTTACTATGGGTTGCAGATGTTAAAACAAAAACACACATTAAAAAACTTCAATCCTGCCCTGACCAGTGTGGCTCAGTTGGCTGGGTGTTGTTTGGCAAAGCGAAAGGTCACTGATTCGATTCCAGGTCAGGGCACATTTCTGGGTTACCAGCCAGTCCTGGTTGGGGTGAGTGCAACAGGCAACTGATGGATTTTTCTCCCTCCCTTCCCCTCTCTCTTAAAATAAATAAAATATTAAAAACAAAAAACAACAGGAAAAAAAAACACTTCAACCCTAGTAACTGAGTTCCTGCATTCATATTTGAATACTATATAAAACTGCAATAAAGGCTATGAAGGCCAGAAATATTAGCATGTAAAACATATGAAGGATCATAACCACTATTTTTTAAAGTAGCACCTGGATACCTGGGGGTTTTCTTCGTTAAAATAGAACAAATGAAAGCAAAGATTAGGATGAATTATAAGATCTCTGAAATGAATTTTGTCTCAGTTTTCTCTAACAAAGAAATCTATCCAGTGAAATATATGGTTGGTTCTACAGAAAAATTAAAACCAGGAGAAATGAAATACCCTACAGGACTAATCCTCATAATTAATGCTGGGGAACTGCCCAATATATTTTTTATATTAGAATTATAGGTGCTAAATAGAGAAAAGTGATGTACCAGAGTAGTCTCAGGAGCTTTTCCTAATTATATAGTGATTTCCTTATTTGTCCATTCCAGAATCAGAGTTGTGGAGAGGGAAACAAATAGCTTCCGAAGGGTGATAAATCCGTATATATACTATTATAAATATGTATACTTTGGAGAAAACTCCCCAGCCAACTAATACACCTACTATATGGCATTTGATGAAGAATTCTGTTTTAACTGATATAATAATTATAGTTTAGAAATATTCTGTCACACAGATGATTTTACAGAAACATAATTTTACCTATGTAATAAACAGGAGAATCAACTATGGTCCCTATAACAAGCTAGTACTTCTTGTATATGTAAGGTACTTAAGGAAAAATACTAAAGTTTTATGAAAATTTAGTTTTAGGTATGGACTATAAAACTACTCAACATTCTCTACAAAGTAGATAAAATTAGTTTAAAATTCAATTGTAGAAAACATTCTGGTTCTTACCCACTCAGGTGTCTGTCTTCACATCAACTATAGGTATTACAAGATTATAAAAACATTTAAAATACAATTTTATGTAATTTTTATTTATACTTTAAACGACTGCTGGGAACCATCTTCTGTGAGGGCATGTAGTCTTTTTTTTTTTTATTTAAAGAAAGGCTCACTAATATTTTTCAAAGGCAAGCAATAAATGTGTTAGCTGAAAATAGCCACCTTAATGATTGTATGTGACACAGACTTGATTGTGTGAGCCTACAGAGCTTCCCCACCTCTGTCTCTCCTCTGAAGGAGGAAGTCTTTGTGTGCTTTTGTGCACTGGTTCCACTGAATTCATTACAATAGAGATGGACATTTGATATTCATAATGATCCAACATCTGAGCAATCTTCTTTCGAGATACACCGTGTTTATTCCTCCTAACAAAAAAAGAGAAGGATTTTAATTCTTTAAAGAATTTATAGGTTTAGAAAGTAACTTGTTTTAGCATAACAGAGTGCCAAGTCTTAAACTGTAGTTTGCAAATAAATACTAGAAAAACACATCTCATTTACCCACATTTAATTATAACCAAAAAATTTATACTGGCTCTCTCAAAATTTTTAACAGTACTTTAAAAAGGTTTTAAGATACCATAAATCAAAGCAAAATATTAACGTTATACCTTCATCACACAGAACCAACTACTGATTGACTGAGCCACTGAGCTAATCTCCCTCTTTTTAAGTAACAAAACCAAAGACTATGAGAGACTGTTTTGAGAATTATAGAATTGAGTGGACTTGTAGGATTTTCAAAAATCAGTATCAAATATTTATCACTTTTTAAAAAGTTATTTTAGGACACATCCTATTGTATTTTGAAAATTTATAAATCAGTACAAATTATTAGATACAACAATTTAGACATATCTCACAAACATGTTAAGTGAAATAAAATGGACATAATAAATACGTACTACAGGATTCCATTTACATAAAGTTTGGAAAAAACTTCAAAAATTAAATTATGGTGTTATAGCAAAAGATGTTTTAGGAAAAAGAAAATGCTTTAAAGAAAAGCAAGAAAGTAACTGCCAAAAAATTGTTACTGGGAAAAGAAACTTGAAGAATTTCTGAGGTGTTGATAAAACTCTAATGACACGGGTAATGGTTAAATGAGTATCTGACTTACAAGCAATTTGTTAAGCCATGTGTTTATATTTTATATACTTTTCTGTGAGTTTAATTATGAAAACCAAAAGTGGCTTAAAAATTATTCTTGGCCCTCAAAGAACTTTTTACAATTTATTTTACCCTCACGGTTTTCCATAACTTGACTTGGGACATGGCAAAATACACAGAAACATATCATACATTTAATGTTACAGTTCTAGATCTACTAGTTCATTTTTCCCAGAAAAAGGATATAGAAGAAATGTTTACTTTTCAAAATTATCAATGCTTATGTTCAAGTTGAGAAGAGAAAGCAAAAAGAGAAAAGACAGAAGACCAAAAAAGAAATTTCAGTTGAAAATTGGCAAGATCTGACTAAATCCACAAGATGCCAAATTTGATGATTCAATCAATTTTGTACAAAACATTCAAACTATACTAGACATCAGTTAAACTGTAGTTTATAAAGTCAACAGTCCCTCAAAGGTAAAGTCTAACTGTAATTTCATCAATTTGTTGTGTACCATAACCCAAATATCTTCAGTGTTTAAACTTTTGTCTCTAATGCCCAAGGTGCAATACACATGGCAGATAAAAATATCAGATATTAGTAAATCTATCAGTTTACTTAGTCATATATGAACATATGGCGTACAAATCAGAAAAGAAAAGTGAGGTGGCCAAAGGAATGAAAGGCAAGGGAGAAAGAATTAAATTAGTTGGACACCACACAGAACAACACTTTAAGCTGGAAGAGGGCAAACTGGGGGCGGAGGAATAAAAATGGCTTAAAAAAAAGGGAAGTGATGGTTATACAACTCTGAATATGAGGTCTGCCCAGAAAGTATCCAGCCACATACTATGAAAAATATTTATTGAAGACAATACAAGAAACAAAGCAGGCACCTTGGGACCTCACACAGTTTTCCTAGCATCTCTTCCACTGTTCAAAACATTCTGCAAAATCCTTTGTTGCAATCACCAGCAGATGCCCCATCATATTTTCATGAATCTCATCAAGGGTCTGAAATCTCTTCCTTTTCAAAGGTGATTTTAGTTTTGGGAGAACCCAGAAGTTGCAGGGTACCAAATCTAGGTTTTACGGGGGCTGAGTCACCCTGGGTGATTTGATGTTTCAAACAGAAACTCTAGCACATTGTGATGAAGCTGCCAATCACCAGTTGTCCATAGCTGCTGCCTTTTGAATCATCTGAATAGTTTCCACAGAGGCATGCTCAAGTTTAACACAAAATCTGATGCAGATTTGTTGTTCTACTTGCTCAGTCATTTTGAATGTGGAGGTCACACACTACACATGTTCACTCAATAGTGTTTACCATCCCAGCTGACTAATACAGTGAAGTTGTCATTGTACATACACACACATTCCAGTCTACTCTCCTTGGCTGCCAGGTTACATCGATGTTGTGCAAACCATTCTTGTTACAGTAACAATGGCTGGACTTTTTCTGGACAGACCCCCCAAAACACTGAACTCTATACTTTTAATGGGTAAACTATAAAGTATGTCAATGATATCTCAAAGTTGCTACCAAAAGGTGGGTCGGGGGAGTGAAAGTGAAGGAAAACAAAGAGTCACAGTCAAAAAACCAGTGCTGTGAGGAGAAAGTGGTAAAGGTAAACACAAAGAGAAGAACAGGGTTGAAAGTAATACAATCCAAAATCCCTCACCACAAATTCTGAAACTTAAAAATGCTCTGAAAACTGTTTTCTATTGACTCATATGGCAGCAAAACCTAACCAGATCTGTTCTCATCTGGCAACACGATCTACCTGAACTGACAACAGATTATGTGGAGACTTTATCTACTTAGCCTTAGTCATCATTTGCTGCAGAAATATTAAGATGTTGAATGATGACAATCTGCCCAACCTCTAATAAGGGGTGTTATGATTAGGTACATGCCCTATATTACCTTTCTACCAACCAAAAACAAAAAAAAATCTGAATTCCATTGATTCTAAGCAAAAGAGAGAACAAGATGAAAGCATTGGGTAAAAAGGTGATAGGACCTAAAATGGGAAGGCAATGACATTGGTTATGCAGAGAAGAAGCATAGCTAAAAACCAGATGGAGGAGTCCTAATTATCCCTCAAACAAAATTAATAAGAAAAATTTAATAAAATTTAACAAGCATGGTGTCTCTAAAAAAAACAAAACCACACTGAATTAAAGTCAATCTTCCTCTTAACAGAAAGTAAGACATCCTTAATCATAAGTAGCAAAAACATGACAAAGCTAGTAAAGACATTGACTATGTAAAGGAGAAAAGAAAAAAAAGAAAACATTCAAAATAAATTTGAGCGCCTTACTTTTCTAATTCTTCAGGATCAAATTTCCACCAAGTGTCAGGTTCATGAAACTCTACTCTGTATCCTTTTCCTATGGCCTACACAAAGGAAGAAAACAAACCCAGAGAATACTTCTTAAAGTAAAAAGAAGGCAGATATAAATTTCATTTAGACAATACTTCTAAATTTGCTGCACCAAGAAAAATTTTACTTTTAAAATAATATGGTTTACAAAAATTTTAAGACCACTTAACCAACTGTCAAATTCTAGTTACTGTCCTCAAATCCAGGCAAAATGAACATAAGCATATTTCTTAATAAACATTATTCCCATGTTTTTAAAACTAAGTAAACATACTTCTTTAGAAAACAAGGACAATGTTTTAATACTAAAGATCAAAGTAACCAAAATTCCTTAATATAAAAAAATTGACAAGAATAAAATATAAAAACTCTCCTGTATCTCATATTTACCATTTCCACATATGGTTTCATTTCCCAAGCTTGTGTGTTAGTATTGTCTATTATAACTGGAGATCTCCCCTGATTGATAGCTTGCTTAGCTGAAATAAAAAATGAATTTAAAAAATAAAATTTAAACTTTCATTACTAAGAAATTTTCTACACAGAGACACTGAAATAAAGAACAAACTGACAAAAACTGGGGGAGCGGGGAGAGGGGGATAACAGGGGAAAGAAGGGTTGTCAAGGAACATGTATAAAGGACCCATGGATAAAGCCAAAGTGGGGCAGGACTGAGGATGGGATGGGGGAAAGTGGTGGTGCCAAAATGGAGACAACTGCACTTGAACAACAATAAAACATAGAGAGAGAGAAAAAAATGGACCCAAGTACATGCCTAATTTTAGTATATCACTAAAGTGACCTCTCAAAACAAAAAGAAAACAACTAAAAAGAAATTTTCTACATATCTGTACCGAAAATCAAAGCCATGCAATCTCTTGAGTCAGTGCCATGAAAGAAAGAGGACTCCACCAGATTAAAAGGGAATTAGGAGACATAACCACAAGCCATGTGTATTCTCCAGACCAAATGCTGGCTTTGACTAACTATAAAGCACATTTTGGGAAAAAAAATTTGTTGTGCTTACAGCTAATGAAGAGTTTAGTCTAGAGCTCACTTTCATTTATAGGAAATACAAGAGTAAGTTACATTTGAATACGGTCTGAATGTGAAAGAGGTAAACATTTCTTGACATGGAGAGTTGGAGTTTTGTTTACTTAAAATGGCATGTTGCAAGACAATATGTAAATATGATGTAATACTTTAGTCAAAATACAAAGATCTGAGAAGAGTTACTAAAATATTAAGTGGTTATCTGTAAGCACTGACTGGTGTGGCTTGTCTGGGCATCATCCCACAAAGTAAAAGGTCCTGGGTTCTGTCCCGTCAGGGCATGTATGAGAGGCAACCAACTGATGTTTCTCTTGGTCTCTATCTCTCTCCCTTCCCTTCTCACTAAATAGAAATAAATAAAATCTTAAAAAAATATATTAGTCATCTGTTGGTAGTGACAATACATGCCATTTTATGCTTATCTGTATTTTCCAATACTTTACAATTACAAATAATGTCTTTGGTGTATCAGGACGACACTGTTATCACCTAAGCTATCTGGTCAGCGCACAAATAATGCTTTTGAAGTAAGACATGTTTTAAAAAAAAGTGCTATGGATTTATCATTACTTACTGGCAAACCTTTATATACCAACTAGCAAAATACCAGTCGAACTGACTTTGTGGTTAATTTTATTTTTCAATTACAGCTGACATACAATATTGTATTAGTTTCAGGTATACACCCCCCAGTGTTTAGTATGTTTATAACTTACTAAGTGATCATCCCAAAAAATTTCATACCCATCTGACACCAGACATAGCTATGACAATATTATTGACTATGTTCTCTATGTTATACTTTACAACCCTGTGACTATTCTGTTAATAATCAATTTATACTTCTTAACCCCTTCCCCCTTTTCACTCATCCCCCAACTCCCTCCCTCCCATCTGGCAACTATTCAAAATGTTCACTGTATCTATGAGTCTATTTCTGTTCTCATTGTTTATTTTGGTTTTAAGATTCAAGTCCAAGATGTACAGACTCCAAAACAAATGAACTCAAAGACCCCACACCAAGACACATCAAAATTAAAATGCAAAAGGTTAAAGATATAAGAATCTTAAAAGCAGCAAGAGAAAAGCAGTTAGTTACCTACAAGAGAGCTCCCATAGACTGTCAGGGAGTTTCTCAACAGAAACTTGTAGGCCAGAGGGAGTGGCAAGAAATATTCACAGTGATGTAAAGCAAGGACCAGGACTTCAGTCAAGATGGAGGCATAAGTAAACATGGCTTACCTCCTCACACAACCACATGTAAATTACAACTAAACAATAGGACCGCCATTACTCAACTGCCAGAAATCGTACTGGATGGAAGTCTGACAACTGCAGAATTCAAGAAATCACATCCATCCAACTAGTAGGAGGGGCAGAGACATGGAGACACCAAACAGGCTGGTTACACACACACCTGTGGGGGAGAATATTCGGGAGGGATATTTCGGGAGCAGGGGGTGCCATCCCCATACCAGGTACCCCAGCCCAGGGTTCTGATGCCAGGAAGATAAGTCACCATTACTTCTGCCTGCAAAAACCTGCAGGGATTGAATTAGTGGAAGAAACTGCTGGATACTCAAGCAGTTCCTCTTAAAGAACCCACATGGATTTAATCAGATTCACTCCCTCTGAGTTCCAGGACTGGTGTAGCAGCTTGAAAGGCACCAGTGGCATACAGGGAGGAACTGAAGTGTCTGGCATCATGATAAGTACTGACGGACAGCTTTCTCCCAGACAGAAAGGTGAGCAGTGGCCATTGTTCCTTTTTGAGCCCTACCCTCACAGAGCCACAGAGCCAGATGGGTGCCGTATCTGAAACTCCATCAACCTGGCTCACACTGTTTGCCCCACCCTGGTGATTGATTCCCTGAGGCTCTTCCCTACCCAACATACAGATCCACCCAAGCTATTAACAGTGGCTTTTCCATATGAATGGCTAGTCTTGGCCCTTGCTTCACAATTTCTTAAATTCCCTCAAACAAGCAAGAGCCAGCCTCAGTAAGCCCCCACCAAGTCCCCAGCCCAGTACCTCTTGCTAAGTGGCCCTGGACCTGGCACTAGCAACAGCTAGCCTAGGTTTGAAGCTTGTTTTCACTTGGGGACCTCCAAGCCCAGCACAGGTAGCAGCCAACTGCACATTGCTTTGTAGCTCAAGAAAGGTGGCCCAGGCCAGAACACAGGTAGGTGCTGACCTTGGCCTGCACCACCTGGGAAACCCAGAACCTGTGTACCCAGGAGACAACTACAGATCACACTGGAGGACCGCCATCCTGTCCCTGCACAGCTATTCCTCCACAGGACAGATGTTGGTGGTCAATATTCCTTGAAGCTGCCTGGCCTCAGTTAATCCCTCCCACTGATCTCCCAACAGCAATCAGGCCTCAACTACAGTAGAAACAGAAGAGTGGATGAAGCCAAGAATCAAATCAATAATTTGGAATGTAAGGAAACAAAAACCACCAATCAGAAGAAGAAAAAAAGAATCCAAAAAAATGAGGGAAGTGTAAGCAGCTTCCGGGACAACTTCCAAGAGGTCCAACATTCACATTACAGGGGTACCAGAAGAAGAAGAGAAAGATAAAAAAATTTGAGATCTGTTTGAAAAAATAATGAAAGAAAACTTCCCCAATTTGGCAAAGGAATAAACATCCAGGAAGCACAGAGAGTCCCAAACAAGATGGATGCAAAGAGGCCCACACCAAGACACAGCATAATTAAAATGCCAAAGGCTAAAGATAAAGTATCTTAAAAACAGTTAGAGAAAAAGAGTTAGTTACCCACAGGGGCATTCCCAAAAGACTGTCAGCTGATTTCTCAAAAGAGGCTTTTGAGAAAGAGGCTAGAAGGAATTGACAAGAAATATTCAAAGTCATGAAAAGCGGGAATCTACAGTCACGATTGCTCTACCTAGCAAAACTATCATTTAGAATTGATGGGCAGACAAAGCACTTCCCAGACAAGAACAAAACTAAAGGAGTGCATCATCAACAAACCACTGTATGAAATGTTAAAGGGACTTATTTAACAAAAAGAAAATCAAAAGTATGAACAATAAAATGGCAATAAATACATTATCAACAACTGAATCTAAAAAACAAACTAAGCAAACAAGAACAGAAACAGAATGATGGACGCGGAGAGCGTTCTGATGGTTGCCAGGTGGGAGAGGGGTTTGGGGGAATGGGTGAAGGGGTAAGGAGGGTAGTAACAAGCTGGTAGATACAGAATAGCCATGTGGATGTAAAGTACAGTATGGGACATAGAGTAGCCAAAGAACTTACATGCATGACCCAGGGACATGAACAAAGGTGTGGGGACTGCCTGAAGGAGTGGGGGCTACTGGGTAGAAGGGGGGCAAAGGGTGACAAACTGGGACTAGTGTAATAAAAGTTTTTATAAGCAAAGCAAGGACCTACAACCAAGATTACTTTACCCATCAAAGTTCATTATTTCTTAGGACTATGCCTCTTAAACTGGGAGCTGAGATATAATGGAACTTTTAAAAACTCTATCTCCCTATCCCTATACTATCTCTTCCCCCATGAGGTTAGGAATCACTGCCACAGTAGCCATTGTGATGACAGGAGTGTGTACACTTTAAGTGTAAACAGACAAAAAATGTAATTAAGAACCCAAATAAAATTTAAGATGCTGAGGCAAAATGTAATGATATGGAAGTTTTCTTGGGATTTAGAATTCAAACTAGTAAGTTCTACATAATGAAAACATTTATACAGAGATCCAGGGCAGACAGAATTATAAAAATCAGTTAGCTAAGTAGTAATGACTATGACTGAGTACATATTTGGAGGATGTCTTTAAATACTAAAAGAAATTTGGAATTTGGGTCAGAAACAGCTATCCATTTCCAAGATGCTCCTACTTCTCGATCCCCAATCATAAAATGATGAAGTCTTTCATTTATAAAAAGCATAGTAAAGCAATTCTCTTAATGTCTGATAGTCAGGCCTACACCTTCTAGGAGTTACATTCCAGAAGAAGAGTTTATCAACCAAATAGTTGGGAGATCATTCTCTTCCCTGAATCATCATCATCCAATACCACATTCCAGGGCACTCTGGAATAGAGCTCCTAGGGAAACAATGATTAAATACACAAACAATGAGTGTGGTTTTCTTAAACAAATTAACCACCATATTCAAAGAAAGAGAATAATGACACCCTGGAGACGCTTTCAATTTATAATAAAAACCATCTAAGATGAATTTACAGTATTTTGTTTTGTATCATGTGTACTCATGTTTTTGGCCTAAACTTTCAGGAAAGAAAATCTTTTAATTTTTTAATTCAACTTTTTATGTATTTGTATTTAGATACTTTTTTTGTATTATAAAGGAATTTTAGCATTTATTTTTTAACATATTATGGTACAAGAAATTTTATCTAACAAATAATTACAAAACATAAGAACAGATACAAGATACAAGAAATTTGGTACTATGAAACCGATTACCATATTCCAGGGTATTATTCTGCATACAGATTATCATTATTGCTTTCTAGAGTTACACTTCTAAAGCATAAGCAGAAATAAAAGAATGAAAAACATTTATATAGATACGGGATTAGTACTACCCATGTATAATGTGCATCCTTACTTTTCCCTCAAAAATCTGGGCCAAAATGCATATTATATATGGCAAAATAGAGTAGATTCTTCTAATTAAAAAATGAGGCAGGCAGATATTCCAGGAATGGTGTCCAGAATTTAAAGTATGCAATAAATGTTTGTTAGAAAGAGAAATTCTCTCCTAAATAAGCTATGCTTTAATTTCAAAATGTTTAATAATTACTAGTTATCATTACCTGAAAAAGGTATTACTTTAAAAAAGCCCATATTTATTATATTAATAAAACCAGTAGTTTATCCAGAAACCATTGTTTTGTTTTGCAGTATAATTCACATAGCATGAACCTTTTAATGAAAATTCTGGACTAGTCCTCCAAAGAGAAAAATTGTACCACACAAACAAGCTTCCCAGTTCACCAAAGACACACTAACTCCACCCCCTACTTTTATTCATTCCACTATCATCTACTCCCTCCCCTAACATTAGGCCCATAATACCAAACAGTTTTTTTGGAACTGCAATACCAACATTATTTTTGACACTGATGTCCTATGGCAGTTTTTAAAAATAAAACTATTTTTTGAGATTTTTATGCCTGTCTCTAATGTATTTGGAGAAATCCTAGAATGTCATAGAAACAATACTTGGAAGTAGTCTTACAGTCAAACATATCTGACATTTAAACTTTCCTGTGAAACTGTGAACTATAACAGAGTGAAACTTTTTACTAAAAAATATCCTCCCTGAAATTTTACTCTGAAAACGGACAATTTTAAAAAAAGCATTTATTCTGTTTTTCCTGTACATCCTGTATTTTAGGGTGACCTTAGTTGTTAGTTCTAGTTGAGAGGAAGGTCTCATTACAGAAGAATTCTAGCTACTGCACATGGAGGAAACAGTAGACCTAGAAAATCACCATTTTACAACCCTCAATGAAATGACTGATTCAGGAAACATTTTACTGTTAGATAAAACCATTAGGTATAAGGTTGACAGGATACTTGATAAGGGAGGGAGGAGGCTGTCCCTCTGAAGCGACTGGTCATTCTAAGCATCACTAAAAATGGGATAACCAGACTTTCCTTACCCCTTGCAAAAAAGTTGAACCTAATGAATACTCTAGAGGTAATACAGGAGAGAGTTAAATGGTTACCACAAATGCGGACAAAAAGGGGTCACATACTAAACCTGACAAGCTCAGGGTAGGCCTGCATGGCAGCCTTACAAACTGAGAGCCACATATGATGGTCTGAAATTAAAACATCCTAACAAACACCAAGTCATGGTGAGTAGTCATATCTTAGGCCAGTATCCTCCTTGACAAAGGTCGATCTTTACCTTAACTGAGCCTATCTATTAGGTCGATCTTTCCCTTAACTGAGCCTATCTATTGTCTTTTTCCATCTACAATAACATGCCTTTGGAATGTCAGAGTAATTCCCCTTTTCCTGACTCCTCAGGGCACACCCTGACACCAGAGCACAAGACATTGCTACCTTGTTCCCTTGTGTTGCATCTCTATCTCCTGTAAATGTTAACTATCCCACCAAATGTAAAAAACGTACTTATCTACAGGCTTTACTTTTTATCCAGTCTCAGATATTTCCTTTGCATTCTCCCACCTCCCTAATCTATTACCAATGGATTTCATGTAACCCTCTTAAACTTTCCCCTTTGATTCTCATGTATAAGTGGTAAAACTTCCATTTTTCTGGGGCATTTTCTCAATTCATTGAGATTACTTTCCGACAATGGTAGTCGGTTTGGTGTAAATAAACTCATAAAAATTATTATTATTATTTTGAAAGGTTTTATTTATTTTGGGAGAGAGAAGGGAGGGGGGAAAGAGAGGGAGAGAAACATCAATGTGTGGTTGCCTCTCATGTGCCCTCGACTGGGGACCTGGCCTGCAATCCACGCATGTGCCCTAGACTGGCAATTGAACTGGTGACCCTTTGGTTTGCAGGTCAGCACTCAATCCACTGAGCCACACAGGCCAGGGCAAAATAAGCACATAAAAAATCTTAACAGGTTTGGACATTTCTTATGTTGATATAAAGAAGCAAATAGACAACTACAGGATATGGGATATTCTACAGGAAAAACAACTAAGTTTCTTCAAGTTAATGGTATGAGGGTGAAAGAGAGGAAATTGCTACAGATTAACAATTAAAAAAATGTAAAACCATATGTACTGTAAGGATCCTGATTCAAGCAAAATAACTGTAAATAACAGTTATGATGATTGGGGAAATTCAGAAATTCGATTACAGACTGAGTATTACATGATGTCAAAGGATTGAGGTTTTTTTTTTAGGTGTGATGATGGCACTGTAGTTAAAGAACATATTAAGTAAGAAGATGGTTAATTTGAAATGTATAAAGTATAATGTCTAGAATTTTTTAAAAATACTTCAGTAATTAGAAAAGGGGAGGAGTGAGAACAAAAAGAATAAAGCCAATATAGCAAACTCCTGGTAACTGACAATTGTGAGTGATGGGTATATGGGTTTCGTTGTAATCTCTCAACTCTAGGTTTAAATTTTTTCTTTAATAAATCAATTTGTTTAATCATAGTGCATTCATCTATTTAAAAAACTAACTTATACTACATGCATTTACTTACATAGTTCCAGATCAAGTTTCCAATTTGACTGCAACATGAGAATATCTGGGTAACTTTAAAAAAAATACCAATGCTTAGATCCACTCCAAACCAACTAAACCGAATCTCTGGAGCTGACTCAGGCACAGGCCTTTAAAAAATGTCCCCAAGTAATTCAAATGCGCAGCCAAGAATAAGAACCACTATTCCGAGGTGAAGAGAAAGTGACCTATGTGCCTCTAAAAAACGTACTCAATAGAGTTTTCATAGAGTAATATCAATGAGAAAAACTTTTAATATCTACAGGCATTATACTGAGTCTTATTAAACATTAGCATTACTCTTAGAAAAATAGTTCTTGGGAATACTTAACTATAGTATCAGTTCTTTGACTTTATTCGATATAAAATAAAGCCTACCAAAATATCCTACCCCTCTACTTTACCAGTTTATATTGGTACACTACAAAATATTCTATCTAAGTTCTCTGATTGTCACAAAAACCTTGCAAGTACCAGTGCTTCTAATAGGTGAAAATATTGGGTCTCGAAGCTGTTCAAACAGCTTGTGAAAGTCATTCAGCTGGTAAATGTCAAGTTGAGAATAAAATCCCAGTTCCTCTGACTCCTAGTTAAATATTCTATCCCGGGAGACTTGGTCCAAAACAAACCTCTGTTCTGGTTCCAGTCATGGGCATCACCAAGTTGATTAACATTATACCTGTACCCATCTTGGTGGTGAAAATAGTCATCAGTGCTGAACACAATGCCATCACGACTCTGACCAAGCAGAATTCTGTTAAAAAAAAAAAAATCATAAAGTGCCATTTATAAAATCTATAGCCATCAGAAATAAGCCATACAGCAAGTTTATTATGAACTTTGGGTACATACCTGTGAGTATATTGCAAACGGAATAGCAGAGGAGCTAAATCTTGAAATGCTTTCAGATTTCAAATATCAATTCACACTTAAATCTACATAGTTACACAGCCAGTATCAAAACTCTTTTAAAGTGACATTTATATTAAAATTTTTAAAAACAGTGTTTCAACCAATCAGAAAATCGTGTCAATTATTGTCCATGTTTTAACTTTGGTGAATGTGTACTGGGTGTCTAAAATTGCCTAAATTTAGTGTAGCAGGTAACCTAAAAGGCAAATAAGACTAAGCAAGCAATTCATCTGTGGGAAAACTGTATTTAACCCAAGACAGCTTTGATAAACTCGTTTCCATGAAGCACAAAACATAAAACCAGCAAGTAGAAGACAGAAATAGCTTGAGACTTAAGGTTGTGAGTCAACCTATGATCTCCCACAGTATGCTCAAATTTTAGATTTTTAAAAGCTTAAATTACTAAGTGAAATAACAACATATCCCCTGGCTGATGTGGCTCAGTGGATTGAGTGCTGGCCTGAAAACCAAAGGGTTGGCGGTTCAATTCCCATCCAGGGCACATGCCTGGGTTGCAGGGCAGGTCCCCAGTTGGGGATGTGTGCGCGAGAGGCAACCACACATTGATGTTTCTCTCCCTCTCTTTTTCCCTCCCTTCCCCTTTCTCTAAAAACAAATAAATCTTTAAAAAAGAAAAGAAAAGAAAAGAAAAGAAAAGAAAAGAAAAGAAGTAAAAATACTAAATACAAAACACACTCTCGGAACAAGTCCATGGTAATCAAGTTTTGTTCTCACAACATGATCATCTTAAATGTCTAAGCAGTGAGATTAATAAGCATTCAAGTGTTAGAGAATTCCTGTAACTAGTGACTCATGAAAATGACTGGGTATGCTGAGAAAAGGGAAAACAAAGGTAAAAGAATGATTTGAATCCAACAATAACAAGAGCATTGTTTTTTCTATCCTCTCCCTCAACCATTAGGCAACTGGATATGGTTCTGTAATTTTCTGAGAGGGGGAGGGGAGTAGAAGGTGGTAGAAGGGATTGAGAGTAAAAGAATATTGCCCTGGGTTGTTTCAATATGTACTTCCTAATAAAATTTAACAAAAGGATTTCAACTATTATGGTAAAACACATTCTCTCTCTCCTTTTCTCAGTGTTTAATAAAATTATATATATTTACAATAAAAATATAATTGTATGCATTGAAATATACCGAAAATTTTAAATATGCATTTTCACTTAGAATTATGGTTCAAATTACTTCAAACAAATCAAATGAAAGTAAATGTTTTAAATTTGTCTGGGAAGTAGTACTGGATTTCTTTTTTAAGCAGCCATAATTTCCCCAAAATATTTCCACCATCTAATGTATTTGGCATCTTATTTGCTTATACAGATACCCTAGAATATAAAAGTGCTACAATATTAGCATTTCAAACCGAAGCTCAATCTTCTAAAAAGATTTTGAGCAACCATACAATACCTAATTATATTTAACAGTACCAGAATACTGATACCATCTATCCCAGATTCATTTTTTCTTTTCTATTACTTGATTAGCAGGTGACTTTTCAGATTTTAATAATACCATACTACAAAAGTGAAGTGGTTTTTGTGTTCAAGAAATGTTTTAACCTCTCCCAAATTTAAAAAAAGGGAGGGGGGCAGTAAATTAATTTACATCATTAGACCAAGTCAACAACATCAAGCATGAATAAACCTTTATAAGGAACATCTTAAATATATAAATCATAATTGTAACAAGTAATTTTATCTTAGAGAGACTTTTTCTTCCAAGACAGCATAGATAGATTATGCATCCTTTGAAAATTCTCTGAATTATCCCAAACTATGAAACTTTACTTGAATAATTTATACCTAAAATGCCTATATCAATCTGAATATATCCGGTCATACTAACCATTTGAACAAAAAAATAATTTTAAGAATGTTATTTTTTTTTTAAATTCTTAGATTCTACGAGTATTCTTCTTCTTCTTTTTTTTTTTTTTTAATTTTCTCCTGAGGATATGTTTATTGATTTTAGAGAGAGAAGAAGGGGGACAGGAACAGATAAATCGATGTGAGAAAGAAACATCAACTGGTTGCTTCCTGTGCTCACCCTGATCAGAGATCAAACCTAAGTATGTGCTCTGACTAGGAACAGAACCTACAACCTTTTTGGTGCATGGGACAATACTCCAACCAACTGAGCCAACTGCTAGGGCTCTATCAAAATTCTTACAAGTCAGACACAAAAACAGATTCTCAGAATGTCAAAATTCAAAACTCTGAAAAATCAAGTTGCTAATAAAAAAAAAATTAGATAGGGGCCCACTGGCTACTTGGTTTCTATTTTTTTCAAAACTGCCGTCTTTCTGAGAATCTCCTATGTGCCAAGCATTTTATATGTTATTTACAACTTATTTAATTCTCACAACAACCTTGGTAATTTGATGTCAATCCAGAAAATAATTCAGAATTCAGGCCACCAGTTACATAAATAGTGGTGGGAGAGCCAAAACCATTTGTCTAACAATGATCCCTGACTCACGGTATTAATACCCTTGTATAGTCCCCTCCTTGGGTATGGGTTTCAGTCAGTGACTAGAGGTTCTAACAGAATATGGTAGAGGTGATGAAATGCTGCGTCTGAGATTAGGTTACTTTAAAAAGTAGCTTCTGTCTTGGGCTCAGGGCTGGCTCACTTTCTCTCATCAAGATGTAAATGGAAAGAGGTCCAACCAGCAAATAACTGAGGGAGTCTCTAGCCTGCTGCCAGCAAGGAACTGAGCTCCTCAATCCCAAAAGCTCACCAAGAACTGAGTCTCGTCAATAACCTCACAGGTGACTTTCCAAGCAGATCCTCCCCAAGCCAAGCCTTCAGATCAGAACACTGCCCTAAGACAATGTCTTTATCTCAGCATATTAGAAACCTTTAACCAGAAGCACCCAGCTAATTGCACCCAGATTCCTGTCCATTCAGAAACTGTGAGACAATAAATGTTTGTTGCTTTTACAACTCATTTTTACAGTAATGTGTTACAAAGCCATGGGTGACTAATGCACTATGCACTTACACTTTTTCACTTAAAGAACAATCCTGTTTCTTAAACCCTGTTTTGAGAACCCTAGTCTGCAAACTGGTCTACTATGAGAGTTAATATTCATGGTTTATTCTTGAAATTTCTAAGAACTGTACATTATTTTCTTATAAATACAACCACGTGCATTTAAAAATAGAAGTGATTTTCCCAGAAAAATCTGACACTTAATGAACTCTTTTCCTCCTTGTGTACTGAGTGGCCTTGCTTACCTCTAGCCCAAAACCTTTTTATGTGGGCACTTTACTCTGCACACTCTGTGAATTAAGAGTAGAGACCTACATAAGGAAAGGTAAATCTTTTCTCTGGAGTTTAATCCAAGGTCTCCCCCAAAAGAAGGAGGAGGGGGAAAAAAATCTCTTCCTGTCTTTCTGTAAGCTATGATAAATTGTAGTAGTTTCCCACACTGTTGTTAACAAATCACCACATACTTAGTGGCTTAAAACAATACAGATTTATTATCTTACAGTTCTGAAGGTCAGAAATTTGAAATCAGTTTCACTGGGCTAAAATAAGTGCGGCAGGCTAACATTCCTCCTCGAGGCCCTAAAGGAGAACCTGTTTCCTTGCCCCTTCCAGTTTCTAAAAGCCACTTTAAATATCTGGGATCACAGTCTCTTCTTCCATCTTCAAAGACAGGCAGTGTAACATCTTCCCTCCTCTCTGATAACTTCTTCACCTACCTTTTATCTCTGATCACTCCAGACATTTTGCTAATATAATAATAAATTAGTGGCTTGTTTATGCAAATACACTCTTTCTCACTGGTGAAGTCAGCTGAGTATTAAAAATGTGAGTTAACTAAAATATTTTAGAATCAATCCTCCTCCCTGCACGAACAGAGTATAAGGAGCTAACAAAATCTATATCCCACACCCCTGGGAATGACACTCAGTGCTTGGTCCCTAAATGGCCCTCTGTCCATCCACTGACTCAGAAGATTCCGTTTGTTGCCAATTATAACGGGAACAAAATTCTACCTCTAGAATACTGTTGAAATTGCCGCGAATGAACCTTCCATCAAAGTGCTGTCAGTTTTCACTTTATCATACCTACAAAGGTTGTGTGAACTATTTTGCACTAGCTTACTCATAAATATTTAAAGTCTGTACTTTTGTTAGAATTTAAGACTGACTTCATTAAAATGTATTATCAAAATTGTGAATAAACAACTAAATCTTAGCCACTTGCCACCAAGGGTCTTAGGTCAATTATCAATGAATAGAAAGGTAAGGAATTGTGCAGCTTATGCTAAAGGCAAAGAATGCTAAGGGCAAATAACTGAGTTCAGAAGGCTTACTTAGGGCTGACATAAGCCAAAGTCTTGAAAAGTGGAGGCATTTAAGAGAACCTTTGAATAAGCAAAGTCCTGAGAACAAAGAATGGACAAATATTATATCTCCTGCAGTGGAGGGCAGGTACCAATCTAAATGCAAACAGATATGAAGATGGAGAGGTGGGTAAAGACTAAATTAAGGAAGAAAGGGGCTTGAATAATATTCCAAAGAATTTGAACTTTATCTAACCCCCTACATTCATTACCACATAGCAATACAATACTATCTTTTAATTTAGTACCCCAAATCAGCTCAACTCTGATCTACCAAATCTTTGCTTTTTTCTTTTTTCAATGCTCATTTTGAAAGCCAATTCCTATGTGAAGCCATTCCTCACCAGAGAGTATGTGGCTTTATATCCAATCCCAAACAAACAATCCTACTTCATTCAAAAATTGCTGAACTACAGTGATACTCCTGCTTCTTTAACCAACCTCCTCTAAGTCAGGAGTCACATATAGGGCTACTCAAGCATTAGATACTAAAATGAAGGAGCAGAGAAAAAACGCACTCATTAATATCCCTAGTTTGCTCTTTTACCAGTTTTAGGAAATTCTCCCAAGTCCCTTAAACTGAATTTATTCTCTATAGCTTCTATAAAATGAAAAGAATACAATCCATATCACAAGATTTTACATATATTAAAGTACTTTTGTAAATCGTGATACAAATGGTAGTTGCTACTATAAATTCTATTCTTATAACATATACCTAATTCCTCAAATAAATATACATATTATATACTGTCACTTCTATCATCTCCCACTACAACTATCTCCCTGAAATTATACTGAATTATCTTTATTCACCTTCAGTTTCAACATACTCCAATATGTTGTCCCAAACCTAATCTTTTTTCCTTTATGTTTATTCTAAAACTTCATCAGCTGTCCCAAGCTAGATCCCTTGAACATATTTCCAAATTTCAACTAATACTTTTCTAGTATTATATTCTAAATCTAGAGATTGCCCATGTTTGTGACAACTTCTCTATTTCTATCCTTTAAAGAGCTGAAATTTCATTTTCTTTACAAAATCTTCACTAAAGTGAGGGGAATCAAAATGCAAATACCTAAACTTAATGTATAATGATCACAGCTTACAAGCTACTTGAAATGTCTATATCATAAATTTAATCTTTGTCTAATTTCTTGCTTTTAAAGGAAGTTTTGTTTCTTAAAAAGAAACTTTTGTTCAGATTTAGACTTGTTTACACTGTCTTGCAAGTAAATATAAAACATGTACAAAAATGGTTCCTTGAGATTTTTTATTCTCACCCAAACATACCACATAAATTTTCCTTTTCTCCTTATCTAGCATAAAACATCAATCATCCTACATAAACTGCAAAGAATTTTTATTGTTTTTCATTGTGCTACTTTTCACAACTGTACAAATGTACTCAAGTACAACAATATTTTTTTAAAATGTAAACAAAAATATGAATTTGAAATATCTTGTCTTAGATAAAATATCACCAGTTCTAACTCCATTTTAATTCATACAAGGGTGAGCGAAAGTAGGTTTAGTTACACAAAAGTTTATTCTTGAATCATTATTCTATTATTTTCCAAATGAACAACTGTAAATCTAACTTTGCCCACTCCTGTATATTGCTCACCTCAAACTCCTTAAATTTAAAGAAACCAAAAAAGGGTTACCTCTGCCAGTCAATGGTACACACGGGGGGGGTGCTTAAAACACGCTCAAAATTCTTTTCCTTGGTTTGTCTCTTTTGCTTCTCAAGTATTACTCATTCTATTAACAGACAACAAAATCTGTCCACTGTCATAAAGTGAAATAACTAAGTCAAAGCCCAGCTCTTCTTAAACTGCTGACTTAAAACTGAAGGCCAGCACAGTTCTCAAAAAGTATTCGCTTTCACCATTGTCATAATTACACATAGTGTATCTATTTTTAAAGGCCTAAACAAGTTCTTAATATAGATGCCAATTCACCCTTCCTCCATCAGAAAACATCATATGCCACTCTCAAGTATAACATTTTCTACTAGACATATGAAAGCACTTGTTATCAATTACTACTGTTACTTGTGATTTTAAAGTAATGAATTACCAAGTATTCACTTGGTATCCTTTACTTACCGAGATAATGTTGTTTTCCCAGAACCAGGCAAGCCTCTTAAAAGAATAAGTAATTTCTGCAATTTACCTAACTTCTCCTCTTGAAACTGCTGGTTCATAAACCTGTCTGTGCTACTATACTTGTCTTTAGAAGTATCCTTCCAGTATCCTTCACTGGATTCACAGCAACCATTACTCATATGTGCATCTTGTACTCTGTAGACATTTCCAGAGGGAAGATCATTACTGATATTCTCACTACAGTCAGTATATCCAGTGTTCTGATCACAAGTCAACCAATTCCAATTACCATGATAGCTAGTCTCATAACCTCCTTTTTGAATCTGAGAGCCATCTTGGGCATGGAAAATATTTGATGAACTTGGTAGAGCACTGAATCTTTGAATATTTAAATGATAGTTAGAACTGGAAAGAGGGGGACCTCTGGGTATTATAAAAGAATGCATTGATTGCCACTCACGTCTGAAGGAAGTAAAGGGCATGTCACAAAATGTAGGTATTACTTGTCCATGACAAGGATATCTGCCTGGCTCATTCCCCACGTCCTGCTGATAACCATAATGTGACTGAAAAGCACTACTAAGATCTTTTTTTTCTTCTACGTATTTGATCAGATCATTATCATGGCCCTGATAATATGAAATAAATTGTTCCTCAGAGGGTCTTGGTTCCTTACAATTGCCTTCTAAATAATCTTTTTCATTTTCAAGCTCTTCAATTTCTTTGTAGAACTGGAATAATTCATTATCAATCTCTGATTTTTTGCAGTTAAATTTCTGTTTCTCATCTTGTCCTCCTTTGCCATCTATATCATTGATATTGTCTACTTGCTTTCTCCTTCCATTACATTTCTTTTTCTCAGTGGGTTTGTAAATGGGTCCTATAAATGCTTTACTTGTGCTATATATCTCATTATCTGTGGATACCAACGGAGAACTTGCAGCCTGTAAAACTTGTGAATTAATGGACTCAGTAACAGCTGGTTTATTACCAGGCATTTCATCATGCACAGGTTTCAGCAAATCTGTAGTTTTGGTTTTGTCCTCCTGAGAACTATGTTCTTTGACATCAATAATGGTCACAGGGACCAAATCATTTCCAGTTTTCTCTTGGACTCTGTGAAAATTAGAAATACCATGATGGAGGGGGGGGAAAGACTCTTCAGTTGACTTCATTTTTTTGTAGCATGGTTCACTTGTTAATTCTTCCCCATGTCCCAAGGATTTAGCTTCAATTTCACCATAAGGCATCTGAAGAACACATAAATCATACAATTAATAGCTAATATTTTGAAAAGTCTAAACAAAAGTTACTTCAGAAACAAGAAAATAGAAAAAGACATTTAAATTTGCGAGAATAAATGGTAAAATTACCCCAAAATGCAAAAGATATAAAATTGTAATTTTATAGCCACTTACTATTTAAGTATTGTTATAACAAAACTTGAGAGGGGTCTCATTGAGTATTTTTTTTTAAAATACACCTCACCTTTAATCTAAATGATGCATTCCTGAATTGAGACCTTAAAAACTTATTAAGTTTGGAAAGTTGCATCAATAATATACATTTTGATGATAAAAATACACAACTGTGTACTAAGGAGAAAAATCTGCCAACCAAACTGACACATACCCAAACCGGCTGTAGTAAACTGCATGATAAACGTCTTCCATTTAAAACCATTATGTACTTAGGAGTTAATGGATCCAGCTCCCCAACCTGAGACAAGCACATCTCGGGAGCTATCAAACGCCAGGTGAACGGAAAGGCCAGTATTTGTAGGATCCATTCCTGCTAGTAGTGCAAATGTGATTGCCAAACGGGTGCTGTGTGTTCATTTAAACGAAAACAAACAAACAAAAAAACCCTCCAAGTCCCCCCCCCCCCAACAACTTCAGATGCACTAGAAATGACGCAAACATGTCATTTCTGTTTAGAGAAGAACCTCTGGCAACTCCCCAGATCAAAGCGCTCCTCCTTCCAGAAGGTGGGTAAATGCGCAAGATTAAACTCTGCTTCCCTCGACGTTCCTAAGTGGCGCTCAAGAATACAATCCGAATGCCTGTTTTGCTCAGTCATCTTCGTTCTGTCCACTTTCTGGTGCTCCTCCAACACGAAGAAAAAGGAAAGAGCAAAAAGGCGAAAAGAGAACGGCACAGACAGGTCAGAGGCTGGAGGCAGACACAACTTCAAAGAACGCCGAACTCCCGGAAACACAACTCGGCCACCTCCCAGCTTCTCATTTCCACGTTCGAAACGTCAGAAAAGTCCCAGGAAGACAGAGGGGTTGTAGTAACCGAGCGCGGCCTGCACACAACCTGCGACCCAGGGCCTCCCGACTGGGGGGCCGGGGCAACTGTGCGTCATCGCTTTCTCTGTCTCAATGGTAGCAGGTTCAGGTTCTGCCAAGAATTCGTTTGTAGGTGACGGAAGGGTCCAAATGCCGGCGAGTATCCACGTCGCCGACAGGAGAATGAAAAAGGCGAAAACGTCACCACCACTCGCCGCAACACACACACACAAACACGCGCGCGCGAAAAGAACTGTTTACTCATCTTATCTCTCACACACACACACACACTTGAAATGAAGTGTTTACTCACCTTATCCGCAGCTCCGCATTGACTTTCACTTCCCAATGAAACCCTCTTTTGAAAAGATACGGGCTTTAGAGACGCTGAAATGCGGAAACGCGGCCCCAAGGCAGATACCTGGAGGGGCTGAAACTCCAGCGCTAAAGATCCCGGCGACGAACCACACCTCAGCATGCAAGATGGCGGTCATCTCATGGTGACCCGGAAGAAATCGCGGACTCCTTCTGGGCATTGTGGGAGTTGAAGTCTGGCATCACACCTGTCTGCACGTCTCTGCAGACCGCGACTGGTCTCCCAGGATCCACTGCGTCGTAGATGCGGAAACTTGACAACAAACTTAACCCGGAGCTCGATCCTAGAAGTGGAGCTGGGAAGTTGTTTAGAAACTGCAATTTTGGCCAAAAAAGGACAGCGTCGTGCTGTGGGGTTCAACCTTAAAGGAAAGGAGCATGCGAGTGACTGCACTCCAAAAATATGTATAAGTGGCTTTCAGTGCTTTTAAGGTTTTAAGGCTTTTTAACAAAAAATCAGGTTTTTCAAATGGAACTGAACGTTTGATAATCGCAAAGTAGGGCTGCCCGTGTTTTTACAAAACCAACCAACCAAAAAAGAAACCTACTCAGTAACTGTAGGCTTGTGTTATTCCGCTGAAGGACAGGATCGCTGCAGCAGAACCTTGACAACAGATAAAAATGCTTGAGAGAATCGCGCATCATATTTGTGTTTTGTTTTGGGAAAGAAGGACCAATTACTGAGCTTTTCCATTAAAAAGTCAGTATGTAAAAAGGTCTTAGAAAAGCGCTGGTAAAAATAAGGGCTGTGTAAGTGCTTGTTAAATTAGAAATAAATATGGCCCTGGCGGGTAGCTCCGTTGGTCAGAGCATCACCCAGGTAAGCCAAGGTTGCAGGTTCTAGTGTTGTCAGGGGCGTGGCCTGGCTCTGAGAGGGTCTGCCTAGGGCAAGCTGTCCTGTGTGGGTTCTTGACCTCCTGTAGGAAAGATTTTAACACAGTCGAAGTTACTATGAGGATACATTTATTAAAGCTGGGGACAGTAAAACAAGGAAGAGCTTAGTATAGAAAAAGCAACAAGAGAACTTAGGCGGGGCTGCCTTACTTACTGGAAAGTCAGAAAAAAGGGAGCCTTGGGGACAGGTTCAGGGAATTAGCCTGGGACATACTGCCAGCTCCCTATTGCACATTGCCTTAGAGTTTAGGAAACACATGCCTGTGTGAAAAGAAGTTGGGGAAGACAAAGAAAAAGGGAATGGATTTGGCTCTTTCCAGAGGGGGAGCAGACGCCCTGGGTCCTTTTCTTGAGGCTCTTACCTCTCTCCTAAAGCTGAGAATCTTAGGAGAGGTGTCAAGGGAAGGTTTCAGCAGAACAGTCACCAGTTTCCCAGTGTGTCTTTTCAGGGTTGTGGTCTCCAATGACTTGGTCAGTGCCAGGGCAGAGGGTGTTAGTCATTGAAGCTGATCCTAGTGTTGCCCACCTGGTTTTGTTGCTTTTCTGGGCCTGGGGCTGAAATACAACTGAGGCCTAGATGTTATCTTTCAGGAGGTGACCTTTTGTGTCTGGCCATTTTTGTCCAGCTGTCTCAGTTTTCCTGTTCCACTTGCCAAGGAATTTTCCTAGTTTCTTACTGTACTGTCTCACTATTCCTGGTCAGGACATACACAAGAATCAACCAATGAATGCATAAATAAATGGAGCAATAAATCAATGTCTCTCTCCCTCTTCCTTTCCCTCTCCCTTCTTCTCTCCCTAAAGTCAATCAATAAAAAAAAGTAATCATTTTTTTTTAAAGGAAAAAAATATGAACAGAACAACGGGCAATGCTCAGCTCAAGGTCCCGTATCCCTGGACTCATCTCCTGCCCCACATTCTTTCTTGTCTTTACCAGGGAAACTGCTAATCTGTTCATAGTTAAATAAATCTCTGTTGACATACCGTTTTAATTTATTAATGTAATAGTTAAAATCACAGTGCTGAATGTTTGCATTTGATTATTTAATGGCCTTATGACTATGAGGGCTCAACAAAGCAATGCATTCCTTTACAAAGAAAGAATCTTCCTCAATTACAAATTCACACATTGGCATGTGTTTCCTCCTGACTAGAATCAACTTATGCATCCTCCCTCGAAACAACCACATAAATGAAATGCGTCCTTCTCAGAATATTATATCTGGAGGCACATGATATCTGTTTACTATAAGGTGATATTAATCTTTCTCACTCAACTAAGGTGTTACCCACTTTCTCTGCTGTATATTTTCCTCCTTGGAACTAATGAGCAATATGTGAGGGGTTACTTTGAGACCAAATATTTATCTTGATCCCGATCAAACTCTACTTTATGGTTCAGCCTCCACTGATAATTCTTGCTGCAACGGATACTTACTAGGTTGGTTACAAAATATTGATTTTTTTTTCTAACTCACTCAAGCGCTTCACATTTATTAGTCCTTATGATCCTATAAGAAGACTCTTCCTTATTTGTTTATTTACTATCAGTATAAATTCATGTAATCTTTTCTGTTCAAGAAGTTATAATACATTGCTGTCTATATCTGTTTTTAGACTTTTTAGGTCAGTTTTAGACTCACAGAAAAATTGAATAGATAGTACAGAGAATTCCCATGTAATCCCCCCCCCCATACACACATACTACACAGTTTCCCCCATTACTAACCTCTTATGTCATTACAATTAATGAACAAATATTAATACCTTAATATGGGCTACAGTCCCTAGATTTCCTTAGTATTTGCCTAATGTCCTTTCTGGTCCAGGATCCCAAATTATAGGTAGTTATCATTTCTCCTTAGGCTCTTCTTGGCTGTTAATAGTTTCTCAGACTCTACTTGGTTTTGATGACCTTGACAGTTTTGAGGAAAACTGGTCAGGTAACTTGTAGAATGCCATCATCTTAGAATTTATCAGATGCTTTTTCATGAATAGACTAGGGTTATAAGTTTTTGAGAGGAAGGCCACAGGGACAAAGTCATTTTCATCTCACCACTGCAGGAGTACATACTACTCCTAACAATTTATCATTGTTTATATTGAACTTGATCACCTGCTAAAGTTTTTGTTGTCAGGTTTCTCCACTGTAAAGTTATTCTCCCCACCTCCCCTTCTATACTGTACTCCTTGGAAAGAAGTCACTGTGCAGCACATGCTTCTGGAATGGTCTGCCTCCAACAAGTCACTGTCCCCACTGCAGCCATAACGAGTCCACTGACTGGCAGGATTCCTGAGAAAAATGAATGAAACCTGGCTTAGGGTGGGGCCACATGATGATAACTGGTTTATAATGATTGTGTTTGTGGTAGCTTCCTGTGGGCTGGTTCCATAGCCTTTATTTATCTATTTATTTATTTTTAAAAGGTTTTATTTATTTATTTTTAGAGAGAGGGGAAGGGAGGAAGAAAGAAAGGGAGAGAAACATCAATTGGTTGCCTGTCATATGCTCCCTGAGCAGGAGCATAACCCACTACCCAGGCATGTGCCCTGACCAGGAATCAAAATGCAACATTTTGGTTTGCAGGACAGCACCCAACCAACTGAGCCATACTGGTCAGGGTATCCCATAGTCTTTAAGTGAAGCCCTGGGGATCTGAGTCAGGACTTACACTTTTCTGCCCCTTGTATGCTGCCAGGGAACAGTGAATCCTCAACAAGTGCTCAGAGAACTGAAAAGAATTAGTGATGTTGCTGAGCATATACACAGGCACTGCTCTGATGATGCCCTGAGTCTCCTCAACCCTACTGCATTTTTGAGGGATAGGTACTCTTGTCGCATCTCTTTTACAGGTATAAATTGAGATAGAAGAAGAATACATTTCAGTATCACAGAGCTGGTAAGTATCATGAGGGCATCAGATCCTGGAAATCTGGCTCTTCTCACTGCCACCTGGAAAGAGAGGGGCAGGGGAGCTGGACAAAGGGCATCTCCCTCCTGTCTTCATCTGATGTTTTCAGGGAGGCCGTGTTTCCCAGGGGACGTTGGTGGAGGTGGTCCAAAGCAGCTACAGAGGGTCAGGTTACAGCAGCACGGGTTACATGCTCCAGCCTGAACAGGCCAAGGATTCAGCACATTCTCTGGCCCAGCTGTTCCTGTTCATTGCTGTAACATGCTGCCACCTGGGCTCTTGGTGACCCTCACCCGTCTGCTGGCTGCCCTCATTGCAGGTGAGTCAACAAAAAGGTTGATGATATAGCGGCCATGACATTGGAATGCATGCTGTGTGCTGGGACCCATGTTCTCTACCTATTAGACCTCTCATCAACCCTGCACTTATACAAGTAACACTTGCTTTTCATACAAGGACACTGGGGCTCAGAAGGAGTCAATCATTTAGCTAAGAATATGTCATCGGTGTCGGGTCCTGATAAGAACTCAGTCCATGGCCTTCATCACTGTTGGGGCAGTGTCCTGAAGGAAGAGTAGGTCCCTCTTGTGGGTTTTTTGTGCTTCCCTTGTCTTCAGGCCCCCACTCTCTCCACCATGCAAGTGAGGCCACCTTTTGCACACAGCCTCCCCCTACCCGGGTTCTCAGGACTCACACTCCCCCTCTGGTTCCCTCTTCCTTTTACTCTGCATATTCTCTCTGTCCCTGGATTCACATGCAGCCCAGTGGTTCCGTAGGCCCTAATGGCTATTAATGTTCTTGATGAATTGTCTGCCCCTCTGGGCCTCATGTTAAAACCAGCACTTGTGGTTGGCTGTATGAGGTGAAACGTATGTATATTCTTACATCTTTCACATATTTATTTAAAACGTAAATGTTATCTCTCTCTCTCTCTCTATATATATATACACACACACACATTTATTTAATATATAAATAACATATATCTTTTTCATTTATTGTCCAAAATTCTCTGGGGCATGTCTTGCACCCCAATAAAACAGAATAAAGCCAAGGTGGAGAGATATTGCTAACTGGTGGTGAGTGGAAAAGCTGGGATCTGAATCAGGTCTGTCTGTCCCCAAGCCCGGTGGCTTTCCCCTGGAGCCTCTTGGCATCCCCATCAGGGTTTGCTGCGCAGTTTTGAGGTAAAACTCCCATAGTCCTTCCTTGGATCTTTAGCCCAGCAGGATTTTCTTAGGGGGAAAGGTGGGAATGCAAGCACAAGAAGGAACCTCTGGAACTGCAAGTGGGGCACAGACCAAAGCCTGCCACC